ATTGCACGAAATCTAAAGACGAGTCTTCCGATTGTTTGAGTAATTGGCGTTTTGGAAGGGAGAAGCTGCAGAAAGGGCATTTGCAAAAAAACGCAAAGGGCAAGCGATTTCTGGCCGACAAACTCACTCGGGCGCTGGTGAAGGCGCTGTGTGCAAAATTAAAAGGCGATTCAAAAGGACGCCACTGTGTGAATTCGAGGTGTCAAAAAAATGTCTGTAATCGCACAATGCACAATTTAAATGGGAGACGACGTCGAGGTCAGTGTCAACCACTAGAAAAACGTTTGGCGTCGCCATAAAGACATGATGACGACGCGAACACGCCATGCGGGTTTGTCGCAAGAGGTCAGATAGTCGTTCTTTTTCAATCGGGATAGGGTCTTACGGTATGAATGGTCAGAAGAAAATAGGTTATGACAGATAGGATTCCGAAAACACAATTGTTCGAATGCTTGAGATTTTTTGGTGACAGCGCACCCAAGAGGAATACGCCCTATCCCAAAGGGTAGGTAAATGGAAGCGCTAGAAATCAGATACATCCCTCTTGGTCTTCACCGTGCCAGCCTGTAGATCTGTTTAGCGCAATCCTGGCCCTTCGGGACAAATATTATTGTCCAGGTAGCCCAAGAGAGGCATTCAAATAGTTCAAAAAGGGTTCGCCGCTATAAATCGAAAATCAGTTGTATAGGGGTCCAGTCAATAATAGCCTAGAAAAAGCTGCGAAGTCGTGACTAGATACACAGGGTCAATCATAGCCCCCCCCCCCCAAATGGAAAGGGCGTTAATATGACATCCTCAGAAATAGGTGACATTACGCCCCCTCTACTTTTACCAACTGGAAAAGGATTGAAATAACAGTTCAAACTTCAAAAGGGACCTAGTGCAAAGTGCTTGTGTTTCAGCTGCATCAGGGGATTCCTCCAAATACGAACCCCTGCCTTTCAGTGAGCCAAACACGACCCCCCAGCGGGGATTTTCAACGGATGCATGGCCATGGATTCAAGGCTGCCACAAAATTCATCAGTACTGCCCCTTCGTATAACACCAAGAAGAAATTATGTGGCAGAATGGCAAAATGCGCAGTTGTCACTCGCTCAGCCAAAGGATCGGATCCCGTCGTGTGAACCAAGTTTTAAACTACATAAAAATCCGTTTCTTGGTAGTACATACCAGCCTAGGTAGAAGAAGCGTTGCCTTGAACAAGCTTGGCCCACGCAAGTCCCTGCATGGATTAGGCACGTGTTCCAATAACCCCTACTTTTCAATGGTATCGAATGCGTGGCGCATTTCTGGGATGAGAGCTGACTTTCTTCATGATCTTTTATCGAAAGACCTCTACAAGGCCCCAATTATGGCAAGGTTTCAATAAATGAAACCCAAATGTATATCCCATATCTCGGAGATGGAGAGGGCGTGGTTTCCTACTTCATTTGATGTGGCTAGCATGCGTTTTTATCTAGTATTCTTATGGGAATACATGACTACAAGTGTCCCAAAACAGCAATATCCTTCCCTAAACCACACCCCGCACCCAGGTTTAAACTGAACTGTATTAGGCACACCTACTCCATACTCGGATATGGAGTGTAACATTTGGAAGGTAAACAATCAATAGAGCGATTAATCTTCACGATGAAAGAACAAGCAAAAAATCCGGAAGCCTTTAATGTTTCAGCCTGCGATCGATTTCATTTGCAAATGCCGGCAAAGAAAAAGCCATGACGTCATGTAGAAATTCAATTTCTGTGGTACCTCCAAAAAGGGTAATATATTGGCTGTATGCATTTCAATTTTATGCTTACGTGGCAGACGCTTGGGGAGGGGGATCTTCGCTGGAAAAAAAAAGACAACGGGAATGTGTTCAACTCTACGGCAACAAAACGACGCATGAATAAATTGGTGACTAAGATTCAAGCGTTCACGAGAAAACATGCACTTTAGCGTTAACAAAAGAAAACAGCTCTATGGATACGATTTGGCCTCTTTAAGGTTACTTGGCCTTGCCCTTGTTGCCTAACGGAGTGACCTTCGGCTGAATGAACTCTGAGACCTGGAACTTCTTCCGAGGGATAAAAGTATCCCCGAACCAGCGAAAAGAGAAAAGGTAGCCCTCTAGGTGGAATGCAGATAAGGGGAGATTTTGAGAATAGGAGGGGGTAAGCTTGTTAACCCAAAGACTATCGAATTCGAGAAGAGCATCTCTAATCGCATAAAGAACGAGAATTAATGAATGAAGCGCTCACCTGGCTGTTGTTAATCCAACTGTAGACGTTCTGCCAAGTCTCTTCCGTCGTCCAGCAATTGCCAAGTAGTTCAGCACCTATAGTAGCGGCAGAAGCGCCATTGTTGGCGCCACCGTTACTCATTGAAGAGGAGAATAAGTGTCTAGGAGCTGTGGCAGTGGTTGTAGAGTTAGAATGACGAGGTCCATTTACGGATTGAGCATTCGAGGTAGCATTGCTGGGCGCGTAGAAGGCGCTGGCGGCTTGGGGCGCGGCGACCGCCGCGGTAGCGCCGCCGGCGGCGAAAAGCGGCGCTTCCATCAGGGACGGCGCCCGTTCACGAGCGCACCGCAAAGCCATCTGGCGGCGCGCAGCTGGGCGGAGCGTGCCAGGACGCGACGACCCCGGACGCTCGGCGGTCAATAGCCCCCGCCGTACCCCCGTCCCACTGTCGCGTACCCTCCTCTCACGTCCCCGTGTCCACCAGACCCCGTCGTGTAGCCAGCACCTAGCACCGCGAAGAGAGATCATGATCACTTGCGCGAAGGCCGTTCGTTGACGTCGTCATTGCCAACGCCACTACCGCGAAATCAGCACTTGAAACGGGGAATTTTTGGGGGTGACTACGCAGTAAAACATTGTAGCAACAAAAAGCATCATAAAAACAACAACAAAATGAGGCAGCAAAAGGGCAACGTCATCGAAGTGAAAGCTAAAATTCAGAAAAAAACGAAAGGAATAACGATGAAACAGCAGCATTTTTCCAAAACTGGTGAAAAACGATGAACTTGACGAAATGAAAACAGAGAGGAAAATACGAAAAGGAAGAAAGTTAGACAACCACAGGAAAATCGGACTTTACGACATCACAATGACCCAGGTGCTGCTCCCAGGTGCTCTTTTTTGGGATTCACAGAGGGCGGTCCGGAATTTGAAATCCAATAACTCATACTGTGTCAACAAGTCCCACGCTTAGGTAAATAAATTGCTAAGATCCAGTGGTTCTTCCTGTTTATCTTCGAGGACGAGTAAACAAAATGATAAAACACAACAACAGGAAGTGCTCCAGCCTCGCAAGTTCAATCCCGTTTGGGGTTAAAAAGGTCAAAATGACTTTCAAAAATCTTTTAGTCCAGCTAAAATGGCTATTTTCAATGAAAAGCATCCTGCATTATTGATTCATTCCTCCACACAAAGAATCCCGAAATACAGCAGCAACAGAAATCCGATTTGCAACACAATTGCTTGCCCTTTGGGCACATTGAACGATCATCTTTCCTCCGCACAACTTGCAAGCGGTCCTATTGGCATCGAGAACAATTGGTCGCATCGTCTGTGATTTAGCACGATTCCCCCGACTGATTAGCTGTGCTCCAATAAACAATTTGAAGGCCAAATGTAACTATAAGGTCTGATCTCTATCTAGAAGTATCTCGTCTAAAAGTGGGCGGTTCTCAATGAGTATATCCTTCGCTTGCTAAGCATTCGATTTCCGATCGTAAATTTACACTCTCTTTCAACATGTAGGTATGATCCCTGCAAACAAGAGGGCATGTGACGGGGGGAACGCTTGGAGCGCTGGGTTAGATTTCCCATCATCTGTATCGGGCTCAGGGTACCATCAATGGTGGAAAAGGGCACTCTGGCCGCCCCGCGTCACATACTCTATCATTTGCAGGGATCATGGCTATAGTTCTGTTCCAATCTCAGCGCTTATGCGAAGGTGTTGGTGCTACAAGAGAAACTCGTCCAATATGGGCGGTCCTTTGTACTACAAGTCGGCCAGTTCCTACTTGAAAATCTCTTCAGGGAAATTTTTCTGGGTGTGCAGTCACCTCTGAAACTTCCCGACGGCCCTTCCCGACTTTCCTATTGGAGTATCTAGTCCAAGTTTTCTGGTTTGGCATGCAGATGAAGCCTCACTCAGAAGTCACAGCGCCTTGGATTTTTTATAATGACTTGGTAGGACACCCAGAATACAATCAGTGTTTCTTATCTACACGGATCTGGAAACAATTTATTTCCCCCAATATATGGGAAGCTTAGTTGGCCCGGAGGGGAGCCAATATACGACTACATCGCTGTGTGTGGTAAGCGCGCCATTTCCACTTTATCAACTCCGCGCTCACGTTGGTAATATCAGGTGAACTTTCATTTTCTCATTCTGCTAGGTACACCCCCACCCCCGCTGTTCGCTGGAACAAGGTCCCACGCAGACAACCACCGTATCCCTCATGAGACATCATAGAACCATCTGAAATGGTAACGAGTAAACATGATAACGAGCGTGCTACATTAGTGTCGAGGTCA